TGAAAAACAACTGAACAACAACAATAGCACTTTATAACAAAGAGCTATGTAAATGTTAGCTATTATTCTTACCCAGGAGTTGTCAAGGATGAAGCTATGTCTATGACTTGGCCTAGGTGGCATTTTGGTTGGGATGCAAAGGAAACACAACTGGGGTATGGGGAAAACGTCCCTGACCATTCAGGGGAGCAGTCCTAACCTTTGCCCTCCTCTCCACCCCTGCTGCCAGCCAAATCAGTGTTATCAGGATCTGCGCCGGGCTGTCACCCTTAAGCCTCGGCACCCTGAGGCCACCACCCTGCTGGAGAAATTGTTGGCCCAGGCCAGGAAGGCCCGGGAGGAGGCAGTGGTCCTGGCCTTGAAGGGGAACCTGGAGGATTCTTTGATCCGGATCAACTGTGCCATTGAGAACAGCCCAATGGACCCTAGCTACTACTTGTTCAGGTATAATTACAATAGTAATAATAAATGATAAAGAATATATAATAAACAATAAAAGGGGCAGCAAGGTGGCGCAGTGAATAGAATGCTGGGCCTGGAGTAAGGAAAACTTGAGTTCACTTAGCTGTTTGACTCTGGGCAAGTCACTTAACCTTGTTTGTCTCAGTTTCCTCATCTGTAAAATGAGCTGAAGAAGGAAATGGCAAACCACTCCAGTATCCTTACCAAGAAAACCCTCCCCCAAAAAGTGATTATGAAGTCAGATGTGATTGAAAATGACTACATGACAAATAGTGAAGGAAAGAATTACTGACTAGTAGCTAGCATTCACATGTAGCACTTTAATCTTTGTAAAGTCCTTTACAAATATTATTTCAGTCTATCTTCATAATAACCCTGTGAAATAGGTATTATTCCCATTTTGCAGATGAAGAAACTGAGGCAGACAGCAGTCAAGTGAGTTGTCTACATAGCTCATAAGTAGCTGAGGTAGGATTTGAATTCAGGTCTTCCTGACTCCAGGTCCCACTCTTTATCCATTGTACCACCTCACTGCCAGTAACATTTGTTGGCATTTATCTAGTGTTTTATGAAGTCCTTCCTAATTACTTTGTGTTTACCTTGTGTATGCTTTGCATTTACTTATATGTGAGCATGTTATTTTCCCCTGCTCGTTCTCTCTCTCTCTCTCTCTCTCTCTCTCTCCCTCCCTCCACAGAATATAAACACCTTGAGGGCACTGAGTATTTTTTTTTGTCTTTGTATTCCCAGTGGCCAGCACAGTATCTGTAATATAGTAGATACCGGCAAAATAACTCCTTGTTGACTGGTTGACTTAAGGTTTGCCGGGTCTCATTGCCTAGTTTACATAGTCTTACAGCAACTCTATGAGGGTGATGCTACTATTATCCCATTTTACAGAAGAGGAAACTGAGGCTGAGCACTTGCCCGGGGTCACCTGGCTGGTCTGTATCTCAGGCAGGAGTCTTCCTGACTCTAAGTCCAACACTCTGCCCATGGTGCCACAATGGGCCCAAGTATGGACCTAAGAAGCAGTTGTGTGTCATGGGGGCCAGCTCTTGGGTGGGGAGGGGGAACTGAGGAATCAAGATTTGGGATTCCAAAGACCCCGCTGAGGAAACTCAGTACTCTTCCTGGCCAGTTTGTCACAGGAGGCAATGAGGGAGGAGGACCTAGGGTGCATTGCCTAACCATCTCATGGCTGGGGTAGAGGAGGAGAGGGGAGGAAACATGCAGTCACAGTAGAGTTCCTGATCTGGCAGTCAGGAAACTTAGGATCTAGTTGTGGCTTTGCTACTGATGTCCTGTGTGACCATCATCAATAGCCCGAGTTTACATTTCTTCCTGTATAAAATGAGCAGGTCTGGCTTGGTTCCATTCAGTTGAACAGATATTATGTTCTGGGGCGTACCGAGATGAAATATGACATAGTGCCTTCTATCACGAGTCTTAGAGTTCACAGCAGGGTGGAGAAGGTATCCCATCCACAAACAGAATAGGATGGGATGGGGGGAGGGGAAGGGGAGGAGAAGGTGACAAGAGGGACATCACTATCAAAGGTCACTAAGACCCCGTCCAGCTCTGACAAGTTAGGATTCTAAGCCTTTCAGATGGAAAGTTCAGGGCCTGAATCTAGGGACCCGTGGGAGGTGGACGATCGGGCTTGATCCCCTCCCTGTCAGCAGAAGCCGGGGCCTACTAGGGTCAGTGTCCCTGCCACCCATGGGTGAGGTGAGCCAGACCCTCCTGCCTCCTCTCATCCCAGGGGCACTCTGTTTCGGAGGCTCAAAGACTTTGATGCAGCCATTGAAGACTTTCTCAAGTCCCTGGAGCTAAGCCCAGAAGATGAGGAGGATAGTGAGATGGCCAGGCAGGCCCAGCGCCAGCTGCTGCTCACCTACAATGACTTTGCAGTCTTCTGCTATATCAAGGGCGCCTATGAAGAAGGTGTGCTGCTCCTCAATAAGGCCCTACGGGGCGAAAAAAGAGAGAAGGGGATCTACATCAACAGAGGGGGTGAGCTCGTCCTGAGGGTCCTCTTGGGGGGTGGGGGTGGGGTCAGGGGAGGTACCTCACCTTGTATGCTGGGGCATGTGAAGAGCTTCAGAGGATGGAGAGTTGGAAGGGACCTGGGAGGTCCTTGGGTCCCCTGCTCCCATTCTGCATCTTAGCAGCAGCAGAGTGGGGCTCCAGATACGGGTCTGCTAGCCCCAAGTCCAAGTATCTTGTGTGCTGCTGACTGAACTCCTTGGCCTCCAATAGCTAGCTGTATCCCCTCCACATCCCTGTCCTTTCTAGCCAGGCCCATCCCCTCATGTCTCACTCCTGGAGGAGTTCATCCTTACCTCTGCCTTTGCTCATGACTTCCTCCTCTCCTGGAATGCCCTTCCCTCTTCCTTCTGCTTCTCCAAATCCTATCAGTCCTACAAGGTCCAGCTCACATTCTACTTCACCTAGGAAGCCCTCCCCAAGTAAGCCTCGGTTTCCTCCCTCCTCAGAATTATAGTACTTAATGTCACACTGTTGGGGTTTTTAACTGATTGTGTGTGTGTCCCTCCCCACCACTTCCTTCCTGTGGTGTGGAGGGGACAGAACCCTGGGGCTCGAAGGCTGTGCCTGTCATCTGGGGACCAGTCTCGCTAAGCTTTGGAGAGGCTTACGACCAGGGTGGCCCTCTCAAAGACTGTCTTCACTAAGTCACAGAAAGGCTGCAATTTGCATCCATGGAGATGGCCCAAACAATGAAATCACAGATCCAGAGTACTAGTAGTTCACCATTCCTTATCAAAACGTTCATCTTTGGGGGTGAGGTGGGGGATGTGGGGAGATGTGTTTAGAGGGGCAAGAAGGTACCTAGACCCAAAACTTGTGATTCACTGGTATAGTGTACCTTTCCAAGGAGAAAATTCTCTTTGCTAATGTGGATTGGTACCTGCCCTGCAATTTCTAGCTTGGGGCATTGAGAGGTCACCTAGCCAGCATGGGTCAGGGAAGGGATTCAAACCCAGATCGTCCTGCCTCCCAAGGCCAGCTCTTTGTCAGTTTTCTCTTATACATATAGCTTTTCATTATTTGCCTTAATAGAAGGAAGACACATGGACAGTACAAAACAACAGATGATCAAAAAATCAATGGTATTTGGCTTTGGAAATGGGGCTAGGCTCAGACATGTGTGCTCACACATGTTCATAAACCTACAGCCTATACTTGTCCTCTTCTCCAGCTGGATCTGCCCCAGCTCTCTAAGCTTGGATTGAATTTGGGGGACAGCAGAGGGGTTACAAGGTCCCTAAGGATGATTCCTGTGGCCAGTGAAGGGGTAGACAAATTGGGCACTGGGCAGAGGAGAGCAGAATCCCAGCTGGGAGCTAAGTAGAGAATGCCGAAGGGCAGAGACTAGTGAGCGGAGGGACTGACCAGACCTCACCGACCAAGGAGGAGGAGGAGGAGGAGGAGAAGGAAAGTCATGGGGCTGGGGTCAGACAAGGAAACCAGGTGGTTTCCCCCTTCCTCCTCTCTTCCTTCCCTTCTAGATTGTTTCTTCAAGCTTGGAGAGCTGGCCTTTGCCGAGGCCGATTACCTGGAGGCACTGGCGCTGGCCCCCGGGGACCAAGGTGCTCAGTACCGCATTGGAATGCTTCAGGAGAAGCTGGGGCTTCGAGAGCATAAGCTGAGGTGTGTGGGGGCACCTGTAATGATGAGGCTTAAGGAAGAGCCATTGGCCAAAGGGTCTTCACAAGCCTTTTCTCCAGGATGATTCAGTTTGGCACTAGGCTAGCCAGGCAGATACCTGGGCAGACTTTCCAGGGGGCCTGAGCCACTGACTGCACCTGCCAGCTTCCCAGTCTAGTGCCTTCTGGTTGCTTTCAGTTACTGCTTCTTAAGACATGGCAGCCCAGAGCTTGCCTATGTCCCCTTCTCATCCTATGCCCCCACCAGCAAAGGTGCTCAATACCTATTTGGGAAACCTCAGCTTCAGCTTTCTAGTTCAATTTGGATAGCATGCAGGATGTGGAATCAGGAAGACTTGGGTTCAGATCCTCCCTCTTAGACTTACTAGTGTGTGAATATGGACAAGTCATTTATCCACTCTAAGCCTCAGGTTCCTCATGTATAAAATGAGAGGGCTGGACTGGATGGCCTCTGAGGACCCTTTCAGCTCTAAATCTATGGTCTTCTAATTAAGCAGAGTACAAAGCCTTATGTTGGAAGCTGGGAAGACAAAAGATGAAAAATGGCATAATCCCTGCCCTCAAGGAGTTGATAATCTGTTTGCTCATGTGCAGAATGGCTTCTTCTTTTCCTTATCTCCCTCCCAAATCTCTATTTGTCGAAGTTTCTCCTTTTCTTCAAGGTGTCTTCCATGAAGTCTTCACTGAAACTCTCCTAAAATTTCTCTTGGTACTTGATCTCCTTTGCCATTTCATTAACTCCCTCGTGTTATAGTTTATGTATGTACTTGTTTTCCCTGCCCCTCTCACCAACACCATCATTGGATTTCAGATTTCTCAAGAGCAGAGCCTGTGTCATTTCCATCTTTATATCTTTAATGTCTAGCAGAATGCTTTGCATATGGTAGGCAAAATTTTAGTATTTGTTGATTTGTTGAATGGGGGGAATAAAACAAATACACAAATCGAAGCAGTGCTCATTGACTCTTTCCCTTCCCACCAAAATCAGTGTGAGATTAAGAGAGAGAAATATATGAGAAAGGCTTCTGCGCTACAAAAAACTTAGGGACCATTGAGTTGAAAGCAACCCTAGAGATTATCCCATCCAACCCATTCATTTCAGAGAGGAAATAGGCTCAATGAAGGGAAGAGATTTGCTCAGAATTATGGGCAGAGCCATGAGTAGAATCCAGATTTCTCAGCTCTCAATCCCATATGTTTTCTTTTTTCCCCCTTTTAACATGTTTTAATTTTACTTTTTTAATTCTTTATATTACTCCATGTCTCCTCCCGGATCAATAGAGTCCTTCCTTATAACAGATAAGTACAATCAAGCAAAATAGACCAGCATATGGATCAATACATTGACCAAGACTGAAAATCTGTCTCATTATGTACCCATTGTCCTTTACAACATTTTCTGTGCTGCCATTTTAATGTTCCTCTCTCAGCTGTGCATAGACCTAGCAGAAAGATAAACAAAAAGGAGAAAATATTTGAGAGTATTTGAGAAATTAGAGCTGCAAGATTTAAGGTGTTTGCTGAATGGGAACATTAAAGAATATAGATATATTCTCAGTACCACATCATACTTTTAAAAAAATAGACCATGTGCTAAGGGCAAAGAGGATTTATAAATAAATTTAAGAAAGAAATGCTAAACACATCCTTCACAGATTATAGTACAATAAAAATAGTAGGGGTAGCTAGATGGCACAGTAGATAGAGCTCTGGCCTTGGAGTCAGGAGAACCTGAGTTCAAATCCGGCCTTAGACACTTGAAACTTACTAGCTGTGTGACCCTGGGTAAGTCACTTAACTCCAACTGTCTCACCACCCCCCCCCCAAAAAAAGGCAAAAGTAGTAATCAATATAGATAATGCAAACCAAAGATATAGCCCTAAATGAGACTTACTAATAACATCCTAAATAATGAATGTGTAAAAGAACAGATCATAGAATAATAAGACTATATACCACCATTTCTGGGATTCAGCTAAAGGATTCCTCAGAGGAAAAACCATATCTCTGAAAACATATACTAACAAAATATAAAAAGAGAAAATGAAATGAATTTTTCTGTTACATATCAAGTGATGCTGCTACTGATGGTGATTCTAGAACTGAGGGCTAGGAAGGAAGGAGCTGCCTGTCAGGCCTAGCATTTCCTAGTCACACCAGACCTCTTTCAGGCCAGACACATATGGGCTAGGGTTAGTTTTCATACTTGGGTTCAGACGTGGTTCTGCTGGCTTCCACAAAGTTAGATTCTTCCTATTATTTCTAGACAATACCACAAGGCCGAACAACACTTCTCTTCAGCCATTGAGTACAACCCAGAGAAAGCAAACTTATACCTCCTCCGTGCCAGGAACCGCCTAATGCTGCAGGATATCTTTGGGGCTCGTCAAGATGTTGCTACCCTGCTGCTCCTCAACCCCAAACACCCCCAGGTGGGTCCAACCTGGCCCAGTTCAGTGGTATTCAACAAACAAGTCGTTAGGCATTTACTCTGTGCAAGGCACTGTACTTAGCCCTGGGAATACAAAGGCTTTTAAAAAATTATATAATTACCATCCATAAGATGCTTACACTCTGTGGGGGAGGGGGAGAGACATGACCCATATCTAAATAAGTGTAAGAGCAATAAGGAAAAGAAAAGATGGAGGAAAGGTGTTTTGTGAAAATTTGAGGCAGACATTTCACTCCTTCATAGCAATTCTGATTAGTGGGAGAACAAAGGTGGAGACTAGTAGCTAGAATGATTTCATTTCCTATAGATGTTAGATGTCATCCATGGCCACAGAACCTCGGCTGTGCTAGTAACACCTGATTACAAAGGATTGTTCTTTTAATTTCACAAGTTGTGTAGGAAGACTTCAGTTTCCCCAGGCAAGACTTGATCCCAAATCTGGATCTCTCAGTTTACCTTCCCTCTCTTCCTTGCAGCTCATTTCTATGATGGCGAACCTCTTCCCTGGCCACTCTGTAGAGTCTGTGATGAACAGCAAGACAATGATGATGGCTAAAACCATCCTGGAGAGGGCGATGCAGAACCAGCTTTTCCAGTACCCCCAGGATGTCCTGGGGTCAGCTTCATCTCAGGAGACTTACCAGAGGGCAATGCTAGATGGGAAGGTGGTGGTGTAAAAGTGGAGGAGGGAGGAATTAGCTTTCCTAATGAAGAAAACAGGGTCCTAAGCTCACAATTAGGCATCTTTGGAGCATGTATAGACTAAGTAGCTGGGCTAACCCCACCACATTCCATGTTTATTTAGGTGAAATCTGGTTCTAACACCCAGGCCAATCTTGAGTGGGGAAGAGAAGTCCACAAAACTCTGTGGATGACACTGACCTTTCCTTTCCTGCAGGCTCCTGAACAAGGGTGCTTCCACAGAGAAGGATGTGAACAAGAGGCCAGACAACATACCCCCTGCTGAGCAGACGCCTAACTCTGGAGAGACAGGGCTCCCTGACAACATTCCTGTGATTCACACAGCAGGGATCCAGGCAAGGGAAGGGAAGTGGAAAGCCTTGTTCCCCGGGACCTCACACCGTGCAGATTTCAGACCGAGGGAAGGAAGATAACCTCTGTTTCCCAGTTCTGTCATCCTACTAGGATTGAATTGGTAGGGCCACACCATTAAGGCTTCAGGGCTCAGGCCTTATCTTAAGAGAGACATTGATAAACTCCACTAACATCCTACTCTCACCTGGTCATGGTGTGGAGGGACACTGGGCTCTCTGAGTCTGTCTCTGGTAGGGTCTGCCAAACTGGAAAGACTTCAAATATAGGCCCAGCAGAAGCCTTGCTTGCCTGTCGTGCAAGGACTGGTCTAGTTAAGTTTGGAACAGCTCAACCACCAGCTAGCCTATGTGGCACCCTCAAATCACTGCATCTACTAAATCAGAGCTCATTACTAAGTCACAGTTTTACACAGTTACTTTCAACTCCACCTGCATGGGTGGAGTTTAAGCAGACACATTTACAGAATTGGAGATCCTTAACTGGCATGTTCAAAGGAGGGTGGCTAGGGAAGGTCTCAAAAAAACAATGCCATACAGGATTGATTGAAAAGGAAAAGGTTGTTTGGCCTAGAGAAGGCTTAGCTGGGGATGTGGTGGGGAGGATCTTAAAATATCTGAAGGGCTGTCACATGAGGGTATACAGTTTACTCTGGGAGCCATGTTTGAAAGTTATAGGGAGCCTAAATTAAGCTAGACATAAGAACTTCCAAACTATGGGTGCTGTCCAACAATGGAAAATGAGGGAGCGGCCTCTGGCAGAGGCTAGATTGGGGAAGAGGGTTGTTGGAACTAACGAGTCTCCAAGGTCCCTTCCAACTCTAAAATACTGTGATTCCTTAAGGATCAGACGCTGATCAAGAACAGCACAAGGCAAACAGGAACAAGTCAAGAGGAACAGCCTGGAAGCCCCCCAAGGCACCAAGCTTCTCCTGGTAAGTTCTGAACCCGGGTCTTCCTCACTAGGTGGGAGAGAATGAGCCCTGGCTCCCTTCCTTCTGCAACCAGGCGCTTAACAAATTTCTAGCCTTTCAGAGTCACCCCGGATAAGTCACTTCCCCTTTCCAGGCCTCAGTTTCCCTATTTGCAACAGCCACACTCATGTATATAGATAGTACTGTAAGGTGGATGGAGCCCTTCTATCACCACAGGCCTTTCTGCCCGTAGCCAGGCTGGCCCTTAGGCATACTGTTTGCCACCAGGCTTGTACCTGACCTGCCAAAGCATGTGGTCAGTGGACCCTTGGCACAGTCTTGAGTCCCCAGGGACACTCCCAGATCACAGCAGGGCAATGAAATGGAGGCAACTAATAACACATTCGTATGGCACTCTTCAGGTGACAAAGTTTTTTGATCATTTGATCCTTATCACTCAGTGGGAGGCAAGGCAGGGATCCTTACCCCCTTCTACAGATGAAGAAATTGAGGCCCAGAGAAGGGAGATAATCTCAGGTCTGGTGCTATCTCCACTGTGCCACATTATCTCACAAGAAGGGGCATGCTGCAGTGTGGAGGGGGTGGACCTGGGCCCAGAGGACACTGCCAGTGGAACCTGGGACAAATATCTTAACCTCAGTTTCCTCATCTATAAAATGAGGCCATTCGAGATCTCTTCCAACTCTAAATCTACACCTACTCTAAGGGAAGAGGTGCAAGCGTTATCTTTGCTTGACCAATGTGTAAACAGATTCAGAGTAGTTCCAGGCTAGTAAGTGTCAGAACCAGATTTTGAACCCAACAAGCCTCCTAACTTCAAAACCAGTGTGTGCTCTTTGCACTCAGCCATGTGGTAATGGAGGGAGGCTGCACCTGATTCAAAGGGCCTTTCTAGAGCTACCATTTCCATAATCCTGCATCAGCACTCTCTGGAACTGGTGCAGTATCTGTATTTTGAGCTGGCAGTGAGGACTCCTGGGTCTTCCTCTCAGCCCTCTTCTTAACTTATGATGAGAATTCCTGGAAATCAACTCCTTAGGTCAAGCAGGGAAAGTCAAGCTCGAGGGCCCAAAGGACCCCGGATGGTTTGGCTTTCCTGAGGCTAAGGCCTGATTGGAACTATCTCTCTCTTAGGGACTAAGCCAACCACCATCTGCAAGAGGCAGGCCTCTTTCACGTACTTTACTGTCTTCATAGGGCAGACACCCTCCTTGGAGGCCAAGACTGCTGCCACGTAGACCAAAGTGAAGGCTAAAGTACAATGGTCTTTCCCTGAACCAGTGTGTTGACAACCCTGGCTTCTCTTTCCCCAGCCCTAACAGGTGGGCACCATCCATACCCACCCTTGCATTTTTGGGGGGTAAGAGGCAGGTCTGTGAGATAGATGTCTTGTCACCGAAGGAAATCCCTCAGCTCCTTTTCCACCTACCCTGGGCCTCCAGCCTATCTCCATACCCATCAGTTCCTGCTCCAGCCTCCTTCCTGATAGAGCCACCAAGGTTTCTCCAGCCAGAGCAGTAACACCTAGATAGGCTTTCCCTGGTCCCTTAAATAAGCTTATTTTGTATCCTCTCCCTTTACTTCATTACAAAATTAAAAACATTTGAAGTAGGCTTTGTTAAAGAGCAAAGTTTGCAGCCCCACAATCTCCATCTTTGTGCCTGCTGGGGTGGGAAGCTGGGAAGATGGTTGGGTCTTATTAAGTTCTCTGGCTTCCTGGTGTTCCTCCAGGCAATGGGGAGATTGGAATGGGGGAAGGGGAAAGGGAGGGGTGTGTGTGTGTATGTGTGTGTGTGTGTAGTCTTCATGAGCCTGGAGAGGAGAACGTGAGCCTCCCAGGGGGTCCTGCAAGCCTCTAGTAGGGGTGGAGGACATGACTGACATATGGTCCCTGAGTCACCCAATCACAGCATCAATTTAAATAAGGCTCAGATTTGGGTTGGGAAAAAGGGAATTGGACTTGGCTCAGATGAAGTTGTATTTCGGCCAGGAGCTTTGGGCTTGGGGGTGTGGGGGAGGTAGAGTTTGGGAGGGGCAGGAAGGCAAGTGAGGCCAAGATGTCCTCAAACCAGCAGAGCAACATCCAAGTCTTCCCTGCCACCATCAGTCTGGAAGGTACCCAAAGTGGCAGAAGCTCAAACTGCGTGTCTGCCCTTAGCCCTCTGCTCCTTGGGCTGTGGGCCTGCCCTGTTTACACCCTCTGGAATGCCTGGGGCAAAGGTCATTCTGCCAGCAGCAAGTCTGGACCAAAGCTCCCCAGCAGAGTCCCTTGATGATACATGGAGTTGGGGGGAGGGCAGAAGGAAATGAGTGGGTCCTGCCCACTCATAGGAAGAGGGTGATTCGAGAAGCAACAGTCTTGCAACCATTGGAAGAAAAAAGCTGCTCCTCCTCAGGGAAGAAGGCAGTGCCATCCAGCACAGCCTGGACTACCTCGTCCTCCTGCTGCTGGGCCAGGCCCAGCTGGGCCAGTTCGTTGATCACGCAGTGCCGGACGTGGTGGCGCTGGAGGGGCAGGAAGGGGACCAGCAAGTCCAAGAGTTGGTCTTCTACAATTCCCGACTGCCAGAAACCATCTGAGGGTGAGGGAGAAGCAGGAAGAGGCCGGGTCAGGACACAAGTCACCAGCTGAGGGTACAGGCCCAGAACACCCCACAGGAAGGGAACCATGATGACTGAACAGGATGATCTACTCTTGGCTTTGAGCTAAAGTTAATGGAGGGCTGAGCTGGGGCCACTTTGGGGAGGGGGGTGGCTTAGGTTCTAGGTCCCCCCTCCTACAACCCTTCAAGGATACAAGAGGGGGAGAGGGGACAGGGAAGATCTGAGACCTGAGTGGCTGGAACTGTTCCAGTTCTAAGTTCTGACTCCCATTCTGGATGGGGCCTCAGGGAAGTGGGGTGAGTGGAAAGATAGGCAAAGGACTCACGCTGGGGGTTGTCCACGATGGCCTTAGAGATGGCGGGTTCTAGATCCCCAAGCTGGAGCTCCTCTCGGTCTCTCCGGGCACGCCAGGCATCCAGTGCTAGCTGATTGATTTGCTCCCCACCAGCATTGCTGGAACCCCAAAGCAGGAAAGGCAGGACATAGATGAGACAGGGGTGGGAGAGAGGGAGGTCTGGCTCTCATCTAACAGTACGTGGACACAACCCAGAACTAGGAAGCAGGACACGTAGGTCTGAAACCGAGCTCTTCCCCAGACTCTTTGAAACATTTGAGGGAAGCATCTTCTCACCTTAAGGCTTCTCTTTAGCCTTAGAGTCATAATCATCAAACCTGTCTGCACAGTCCTTTGGGGCTGACTAAGTACATTTCCGCCCCCTCACAACAACCTTGTGAGGAAGGCAGGGCAAGGGGAGGGGTGTATGAGTGCCATTTTACAGGTGAGGAAACTGAGGCTATTAAAGGTAGTAAGAAATAGCCAAAATCATGCATCAATTTCATTGCAGACCTGGTACCAGAACCCAGTCTTCAGTGTTGCTTTCTATAAAAGGGGATTCTTACTTGTTCCCCCATTTATCTCATGTTACCTCATGTTTCATGAGGATGAAACAGGCGGGCTAATATGGTGCTTGGAGATCTTCAAAGGAGAAACAAATCACTGCAAACAATGATATCTCTATAATCAGGGTTCAAGGGCTCCGAGGCCTCATGAAATTGGTTCTGAGGGGAAGCCCTCATTCAGACTGGGGGGATGACTACTATTCTGTTTGCTTACCAGCACTGACTGTGGGGAGAACAGAACTCAACCCTTCCAGCCCCACCCTACCTGAGGAAGATGAAGATGGCTTTTCGGTAGTTGGTACCATAGACTACCCAGGAAGGTCCCAGGAAGGGACGGAGTACCCCTAACAGGCCTGGGTGCATCTTGTCCACCTCATCAAAGAGGAAGAGGGAGCGGCCACAAGTTGTGAGGTTCCCCAAGATCCACTGCTTCAGGTCACTCTGTAAGAGGAACACGAGGGGGCAAGGTGAGGTAGCATGGACACCAGGGACAAGAAAAGGTTAAATATGGGGTGGGGGAAGGGATGATAAAAAACCAGAGAGAGGTGACCCTTCAGTCTGTCCAGTGTGAGATAGTAACATGCCCTACCCTCAGAGGACAGAAGCTCCCTAGGGCAGGAACCCCAGATCCACCGAGGAGGAGCTGCCTTCACTTGGACGTGACCTTTTGAATGATTTTCCATGGCTGGTGATGAGTTTGTATTGGCTCACACTTTTCCACCAATTATACTACAACCCCTTACCATTTTTGAAAAGTCATTTTTATTTCTCAAAGCTCTTTCATCCTCTCACTTGACTCTTTGGACAAATGGGCAGGCCTTATTCTCCCCATTTCATAGATGGCGAAACTGAGGTAGAAGTGAAGAGACTTGTCCAGGGTCACTTGGCCACATGAACAAGACAGCTGGCCAGGGGAAGCAGTGCAGGCTGTGTTTAAAAGCAAAACCTAAAGCCCAAATTTTTGTCCTTGAACTCACAGGCACTGTGGAGGAACAGGCCACAGATGAGATTGTAGCTTTAGGGCAAGAGGGGAGTTCATAGGTCAGAGGGGATCCTAGCCCCTCTATATATAAGGCAGCTGAAGCCCAGGAAAGATGAGTTACCCAAGGTCACATGGAGTAAGTAGCCGGGCTGGGATTCAAACCTAGGTCTTCTGACTCCAAATTCAGTTTTTTCCATTATACTACTGTCGCATTCAACACCACACCCCTGGGAGTGTTTAATAAGTATTCAAAAACACCAGTCAAATGTCCATTGTGTCACTCCGGTTCAAATTAGATCAGAGAAGGGCAGGCTAATTTACAGGCAGAGTGGAAGGAGACCCAGCTTCTCCCAATTTGCTCTGTGGCCTTAATCCAGCTGATTTCCCATTCTGTCCTTTAGGCCCCCAGCACTCAGCCTGCTCTTGGTGGGAGGAAGGCCTGGGTGGTGAATGGCTTACCTTGTAGTGCTCTATTTGCTCTGCATGGGGGAAGTGGATGACAGGAGAAAAGTGATGCACGTGGGGACTGGCCATCCCGTCTCGGAACAGGTACTGGACCAGCATGGAACTGACATAGGATTTGCCCGTGCCAGTCCAGCCATGGAAGGACATCACCAGGGGTTTGGCTGGCTCAGGATTCTCCACAAAAGCCTTCAGCCCCTTCATTACCAGTTGTCTTACCAGATGCTGCCCGGCCAAGTGCTGGGCCAAATCACACTCTAGGCCTGCAGAGGAAGAAGGAGAGGCTCCAGGTAGGCTGGCAGGGGAGCACTTGGTCCCCATGGGGATCTCTGGTTAAAGGAGGCATTCCAATCCCAGAAAGGGGATCTAATGACCTGGCCCTTCCATGCCCACAGGGACCCCCTGGTCTCACTGGCTCATTCATCTACATAAAAACATAGCCCCTTAGATAATATATCTCAGCCTCCCTGAACTTGGTGGTCACTTAACACCCATCTCCTCCCCAAAATCTTTTTTATATGAACGGCTGCTGAGCCAAATCCCCCTATTCTGTACTTGATAATTTGCTCTTTGGAACCAAGTGTAAGACTTTGCAGTTTCTGTGTAAAATGTCATTTCATTAGTTTTAGCCCATGCTCCTTTTTAGATCCTGACTCTGTCGTCCAGCATGTTGGCCATCCCTGCTAGTTTCATGTTATGCACAAATTTGACAGCTGTCTATATTTGTATATGAGCCACTGATAAGCATGTTGAAGAAAACAGTCTTCCATAGGTCATTAGATACTAGCTTGTCATCAATTAACCAGCTGACCAGCATGTTTTCTCTATACTAGACCTTAAACTCAATGTTTATTACCACCTTTATGGTGCCTGGTTCTCAGAGGCCTAGTATCGCCATCCAAACTCAAAGACTTCTTTCCCTCAAAGCCTCCTGCCAGAAACTCACAGATTAGCTTCTCCTACTAGAGGCTCTCAACACCAGTTAGAGAGGGGGACTCTTTAGTCCCCCTAATTTCTGTGACTCAATTCTAATTTCCCAATCAATCCTAAATCTGAAGAAATTTATTTATGTAGAGCTTTAAAGTTTGCAAAACACTTAATATGATCTCTTTTGAGCCTTATAACAACCCTTTAGGGTAAATGCTACTGTTATGCATGTTTTTTTGTTTTTTGGGGGGATAGAGGAGAGAGGTCTGGATCTATGATTTTATCAGCATAGGAGCTCATCAATGAGTAAACTCCTTCTACCAGCGCAGATCAGCAACACTCTATAACTTGTCTTAGAGAGTTTTCTGGCATACTGTAAAATCTGCATTTTAAGATGAAAAAACAGATTCAGGGAGGTTACATGATTTGCCTTGGGTTATATGGCTAGTGTCAGAGGCAGGATTAGAATTCAAGGCCTTCAGGTGAAGTGGATAGGGCACCGACCCTGGAGCTAGGAGGACCTGAGTTCAAATCCAGCCTCAGACCAGACACTTGACATTTACTAGCTGAGTGCCCCTAGGCAAGTCACTTAACCCCAATTGCCTTAAAAAAAAAAAAAAAAAAAAAGCAAGGCCTTTGGGTTTATCCATTATGATGTGTTTTAGTCTTTTTTTTTTCCCAGTGTTGTCTGACTTTGCAACCCCATTTGGGATTTTATTGGCAAAGATACTGGGGTAGTTTGCCATTTCCTTCTCCAGCTCATTTTACAAATGAGGAACTGAGGCAAACAGAGTTAAGTGACATGTCCAGGGTCATACAGCTAGTGTCTGAGGTTGGATTTGAACTCCCAGGAATGGTGCTCTATCCATTGCATCAACCTAGCTGCCCTATGATATACTGCCTTCATTATAATTCCTGGTTAACTACAACCCTACTTCCAGGAGCTTCACAGCCCTGGTCTCCTCCTCACCTCATTCCAGTCCTCTTGTGTCCAGTCCCATCTCCTACTCTCCCTGTCTGTTTCCCTTCTGCTGGCCCCTAAGACTTCCAATTCCCAATTCAGCCCCCAGATGCTCACTTCACTACAACCTTCCCCACTTACCAGTCCTCAGGTCCTTCTCACTAGTCCAAAATCTCCAATCACTGACTCCAGCACTCAAGTCCCTCTTTTTTCCAGTCCAAGGGTCAATTTCCCCAACCTTAGCCCTAATTCCAACTAATCTAACATAATCCAATAAGCATTAACACATCATCTACTATATACAAGACACTACTAGAGTCTGGGAGACAAGAAACAGTCCCTGCTCTCAAGGAGCTTACATTTTACTGGGGGGGGGGGCTGAAACATAAATAGATAAATATATATAGGATAATTTGAGGAGGGAGAGTGTTCTAACAATTAGGGGGATTTGGAAAGGCACACGAGATGGCACAGGGGCTGAACCGTGAAGGAAGCTAGGGATCCTCTATCTGGAGATGAGGAAATGCATGTCTGTGATGCCAGTTTATCTTTAAAGTGCATAAGGAGAGAATAACATGCTATAAACGTGGAAAGGTGGACAGGAGCCCGGTTGAGCATTTTAAATGCCACACTATGGGATCGGTATTTTTTTTTCCTAGACAAAAGGGAGCCCCTGGAGCTTCCTTAACAGGGTGGTGGCAACATCGCTCATCTTGCACTTTACAAAGTAGGTATGTGGAGAATGGATGGAAAGAATGCCTACAAGCTGGGGATCCAATTAGGAGGCTGGTGGAATAGCCTCGCTAGAGGTGAAGAAGGCCAGAATTAAAGTGGCAGTGGCCATGTGAGTGGAAAGGGATGGATGCAAAAGACGCTGTAGAGGCAGAATCCACAAGCCTTGTTAACTGATGGCTATGGGAGAAGAGAAGGAGCCTGTCTCTCCCTCTGGCCTTGGATCCCCGGTCTACCCTTGCTAGAGAGTTACCCCAACCTCTTCCGGGGCCCCAGTCACAGGATTCAGAATCAGAAAGAACTCTAGGAATCATCTATTCCAATGGCACCGAGGCGCTGAGGGGATGTGATCTGCCCAGAGTTACATGGGGCATCATTAGCCAAACCAGAACTAGAATCCACCTCCGGTGACTCCAAATCCAGTCTCTTTTCCGCGTGTCCTATAGCCCCCCTAACTCTGATCCCACGTCCAGGCTCCAACCTCTTGCTCCTGGCTGACCTCCTGGTCCAGTCCCTGCCCTTTGGTCCCGCCTGGCTCCCGCGTTCCCAAGCCCGTTGTGCCTGGCGACAGGCGGGTCTGAGCAGCACCGGGCCCCGAAGCCCAGCCGCCGACCTCCCGGGCCCGCAGCCCCCAAGCCTCGGGCCCGGGCCCCGCAGACTCCCGCAGAGCCGGACCCCAACCCCCGACGTCCGGGCTTCCGGCCCCCAGGACCCCGCAGTCTCCAGCCCCGCGCTCACCCCGGAGGTCGGGTCGGAAGTCGCACTCGCAGAAGGCGCCGAAACTGCAGCTCAGCAAGCCCAGGTCCCAGGCGGCGGCCGCGGCGGACACCAGCCCCAGCAGCCCGAGGAACCAGAGCAGCCGGGCCCAGGCCGGGCCGACTCCAGCCGCCATCCCGGACCCGCGGCAGCTCGAGCCCGGGCCGCGGCGGCTCAGCCCCGACCCCGTCCACCAACGACCCAGACCTCCCCGCCCCGTCCCTCTAGTCCTTGTACTACAATTCCCAGAGTGCACCGCAGGGAAGGGAGGGGCGGGGCTGTCGCTCACCTGGGTTCAGGCTCGGGCCCGCCCCCTGGCTCCCCTTTCCCTAGAGGTAGGACAGAAACCAGCGCCCACCCCGGGAAGAGAGTCCTAGGGCGAATGTGGGGATTAGGGATCGTTTGAGCGCTACAGGAGGAAACAGGCCCCGCGGAGGCCTGGCAGGCTCTGGGATGCCTCGGTCGGGCAAGCAGAGCCTAGAAACGGCCACCAGGGGGAGCTGTTTCACTGCCCAACCTGCCAGAACGGCAGGGAGGCGGGGGCTCCGTCCCCCCACAGTGGACTGCAAACTGTCAGTAAGAGTCACAGGTGTGAACGGCAGCCAAAAAACTAATAGAATCTTGGTGTGCATGTGGAGAGGCGCTAGGTGGCACAGAGGATAGGGGCCCTCCTCCTGGTGGCAGGAAAACCTGGTTCAAATCCTGCCTCAGATGCTTCCTGGGCAAGTCACAACCTCCACCTGTCTCAGTTTCCTCCAATGTAAAATGGAGATAATACTAGCACTTCCTTCCGAGGGTTGTTGTGAGGATCAAATGAGTTATTTGATATTTGTATAGTTGTTTTTAAAAATACTTTTTCCAGGAGCCAGAAAGAAACAATTCAAATAACTTGGAGCCACAATCAGGATCATACAAGATGTAGCAGCTTCCACCTTACAGGAGCAGAGGGCTTGGAATATGATATCCAGGAAAGCAAAGGAGCTAGGATTACAATCAAGAATAACCTACCCAGCAAAACTGAATATAATCTCAGGAGCGTTGGGGGGAGGGGAAGAGAATTGATATTTAATGAAACAGAGGACTTACAAGCATTTCTGATGGAAAAGACCAGAGCTGAATAGAAAATTTGGCATTCTTTTACAAAATTCAAGAGAAGCATAAAAAGGTAAAAGAAAAAAGAGAGAAATCATAAGGGATGAAAGAAGGTTAAATTGTTTACATTCGTCTTTGGGAAAATGATACATGGAACTCCTAAGAATTTTATCATTATTAGGGTAGTTGAAAGGAATCTGCATAGACAGAGGGTGTGGGTATGAGTAGATTATATTGGGATGATCTCAAAAAAAAATGCTTGTTCCCCTCCCTTTACTCCCACCTCTCCCCAACATCTGGAGAATTGTAATTGTGTTCAGTTCTGGAGACTGAAGGGCAGTGATAAAGTGGAGACCATGTAATGTCCAGAGGAGGGTGATCCTGATAAAAAGCCTTAAGTCCCACAATGATTGGTTGAAAGTACTGGTGTTTAGCCTAGAAGCTTTATGGGGAAAGACATGTCAACTGTTTTTAAATACTTGAAAAGCCATATGGAAGAGGGATAAGATTTGTTCTGTTGGGACCCAGAGGACAGAGCCAGAAGCAATCCGTGAAAATGGCAAAGAAGTGAATTTAGACTTGATGTCAGGAAAGACTTTCCAGTTATTAGAACTTTCCCAAAGTCAAATGGGCTGCCTCAGGATGTAGTAGGGTCCTACCTGTTAAAGGTCTTCCAAGACGTTGGATAGTCATTTCTCTGATATTGTAGTGAGAATTCCTTTCCAATATGGGTTAAATTCAAAGGCTAAAATTCTGTGATTCTGGTTCATATCCTCTATTTGTTCTGTAAAACTTGGACTCAGTCAAAAGGCTGCACTCAAGGACCTAGAAGGCCAGACATGGCCTCAAGGTTGCAGGTTACCTACCCCTGGTATTGTCTTCTCATTTCAAGGTGCCAACCCCACCTCAGCACTGAGTCATGTAGTATTTGATCAGCCACAAGTGGGAAGGGAAGCTCTGTGTATGCTTTATTTGACCTCTGTTTAGATTGGTTATTTACAGTATGGTACAAACAAAAAACTCAGAAAAGCTTTATTTTGCTTATTAATGTTGTTAACATAAGAATTATTTCCACAATATACACACATACACACACACACACATCTCCTCTCTTTTTTCCCTTGAAATCCTCTCTTTGAACAAAAGCCAAAAACACTTATAATATAGTAACTAGGTTGGTTTTGTGTTATGTATTCATCAGCCATAGTCATCTGATCTTTGGGTTCATGATTGATTACCATATTTATCCAGAGTTCATTTGTAGTTTTGTGTTGTTTTTATTTATATTATTGTAATAATTGCTTATAATTTTCTTCTAATTCTGCTGATTTTGCTATCAGTTTGTAAAAACTTCCCATATTTATCTGTATTCCTCATATTTTGATGTTTCTTATGGCATGATATCATTATAGTACATTCTTATGCTACCATTTATTTAACCTTTCCCAACTGAAGGACATTCACTTTGTTTCTGATTTTTTGCTGTAGCAAAAAAAAAGGTGCTACATAGCTAAAGCTTACAGGTAGTTGGCTTTGGAGTTCAGGTTGTGAGCTAACAGTGGAGGAAGAATCCTAGGTGTGGACTTCTCTGCTACTCTCCTTTTAATTGTCAGGGGATAATTGTTAAGTCCATGAATGGTCCTCTTTTCTTCTGTCATAGGTCCTGCTTTTTTTTTTTTTTTTTAAAGGCAATTGGGGTTAAGTGACTTGCCCAGGATCACACGCTAGTAAGTATCAGGTTCTGCTTTTTGAATGTCTGTGTCTGGAGACTTATGTTTCTCCATTACTTTCTGGATGTGGTATTTCCTATTGGTTGAGTAACTGTGCTTTAAACTGACATGGTCTATGGGGATGGTGGGAGGAAAACAGATCCCTTTTCCCACCTGTTGCCTGTAGTATATGTGCAGAAGTCTCCTCCGCAACTACCTGAAACTGACAAACTCTCTACCTTGGGGGGGAGATGGTCTCCTGTGTAAGTGTGCCCCATTGTGAGATTCCATGGCTGATGAGAGGGAAGGGGGAGAGAAATCCCTTCCTCTCCTTTTTTGTTGTTGTTCAGTCTCATTTCAGTTGTTTCTGACTCTTTGTGATCCCATTTGGGGTTTTCTTGGCAAAGATACTGGAGCGGTTTGCCAATTTGCTTCTCTAGCTCATTTTACAGGTGAGGAAACTGAGGCAGAGTTAAGTGGCTTGCCCAGGGTCACACACCTAGTAAGGCCAGATTTGAATGCATGAAGAGGAGTCTTCCTGACTCCAGGCCCAGCACTCTATCCACTGCAGCACCTAGCTGCCTCTCCTCTACTTACCTAGAGCAATAGATTCTTTCTCAGAGCCCAGGTTCTTCTAACTATTGGCTCCTAACCTGCCCTCCCAACACAATTTGTACTCCCCTCAAAACAGACTGTCTCTAGTGGTTAGCTTTGTATAGCCATGCAGGGATGTGGCAAAAAAATTTTTTTGCGTCCAGTGGCCTTGCTCCATTCCAACTGAATCAGAAGCATTCATGCTTCGCAAAGGGAACACTTGGGGTGTTAACACATTAACACAACATATAACATCTGTGTTATGATATCCACTGGATAGAGAAGTATCAACTGATCAAAGACCAGATTCCCAGACAAAAGAGAGTAAGTCATTTCAGGTGGCAAAAATAGCATGAATTAAGTTGCAGAGGTGAAACTAAAATTATGTGAAAAAATGAGGAGGCCATCCTGGCTGGTACAGATGGGTCATTTTGAGGATATAAGGTTGAATAGATAACATGGAACATGGACCAAGGTCAAGATAGAACTGAATCCAGAAGCAGCCACAGACCTCTGGGGACTGGTCAGTCCCAACCTCTCCCCCAAGGTTGACCTCCCTGTTCAGACTGGCATTCAATATTCTCCATAGACTATTAACCTCTATCTACCTCTCTAGTCATATGTAGAATTCTAGAATTCAAAGAACCCTAACAGATCACCATAAGTAGATACAGAATGGAGCAGAGGAAAGGATACTGAATTCAAATAGTATTTCTATTGCTTTGGATCTGCATGACAGTCACTCAGCTTCCCCAACGCTTTACCCTGGGCCTTTTTCTTTTTTCTTGATACACTCTCTTTTCTGGGTAACCTTATCTTTGTAGATGATTACTAAATCTATATATTCAGCCTCATTCTCCCCTGAGCTTCAATCTCGCATCACTAATTGCCTACTAGACATTTCAAACCGGATGTCCTGTAGGCATTGCAAACTCAATATATCCAAAACAGAGCTTGTTATCTTTCTATGAAAACCTATCCGCTTTCCACATTTCCTTATTTCAAGAGAAGCATAAAAAGGTAAAAGAAAAAAGAGAGAAATCATAAGGGACGAAAGAAGGTTAAATTGTTTACATTCCTCTATGGGAAAATGATACATGGAACTCCTAAGAATTTTATCATTATTAGGGTAATTGAAAAGAATCTGCATAGACAGAGGGTGTGGGTGTGAGTAGATTGTATTGGGATGATCTCAAAAAATAATGCTTGTTCCCCTCCCTTTACTTCCACCTCTCCCCAACATCTGGAGATGTTGAGAACCATCCCAGGTTCACAACCTTACCTTTCCCTTACCAGTATCTAATCAATGGCTAAATCTTGTTTCTATCTCCAAATGTATCATATGTGTTCCATACTTTCCTCTCACAAGTCCACCCTACTAGTTCAGGCCCTTATCACTTTTCACTTGGGCTATTGCAAGATCCTCCTGTTTGGTCTCCTTGCCCCAAATCTGTCTCCAACTCCAATTCATCCTCCATACATCTGCCAAAGTGATTTTTCTAAAGCACAGGCCCCGACCTTGCCACACTCAATCCCTTCTAAATTCCAGCACCTCCCTATTAGCTCTAGAATTAAGTGCAAACTCCTTTCTTGGGCATTCCAAGCCCTTCACAAACTGACCCTTTCCAATCTTTTTTTACACATTACTACCTACACAATCCAGCCATATTGGCCTACTTGTGCTTCTCACACACCATGCCCCGTCTTTTATCTCTGTGCCTTGACACTGTCAATTTCCCATGCCTGGAGTGCTCTCACCACCTGCACCTCCTGGTTTCCTTCAAGACTGGGCCCAAGTGGCACCTTCTGCAGAAAGTCCTTCCTCATGCCCCAGCTGCTAGTACCTTTCATCCAAAATTATCTTGTATCTGCTCTTATCTCAGTCTGTGTTGTCTCTTCCCATTAGAATGTAAGCTCCTTGAGGTCAGGGACCACATCGCTTTTGTGTCTATATTCCCAGGACTTAGCACAGTGCCTGGCACTTAGTGCTTCATTTTTCTTGTTTGTTGATGGATTGACTAGTTTCCTCTTCTGTAAAATGAGTGGATTGTACTTAGGTGATCTCCAAGTGCCTTCTACCTGCTTCATTTTCTCCATTTTTCCTTCTCCTCTGCTTAGGTTGTAGGCCTGCCAGAGGGCCCCATGGGTGTTTCTCAGGCCCCATGGGTGTTTCTCAATCCCATTGGTGACTCCTGTTCCAGGCACTAAGCAGCCATCATCTTCCCTCTCAAGGCCCTCAGGACTTAGTACAATGAAACACAGCATATGTTGCCCTGAGAGGACCAGAAAAGTAATCCAAGCTGCTGCTTGACCAGAATGAAATTTCAATTAGAAAATGTGGAGTAACTAATAAAAAGAAAACAAGCCAAGAGCATCATGGTGTCCTAAAAAAAAAAAAAAAAGCCCTGAGTTCAGGAGCAGAAAACTTGGGTTTGAATCCTGACTACTACTTACTGCCTATGTGACTTTGGACAGATCAGTTCCCTTCCTTTTGGCCTCAGTTTCCCCATCAGCAAAATAAGATTAGATGGTCTCCTACTACAGGAAATGGTCATCTCTGAAAGGTTGCTTTCAACTCTAAATTCTAGATATAAACATTGTTTATCTAAATATGTATATGTGACATCTATGATATGGAATTTAGCTTTATGAAGTTTTTCATATAGCTAAATTCTATAATATGTAATTCCTTTTGCAGAAATGAGTTTAAATGAATATTTTAAAATGTTTTTACATGTAATTAGGGAAAAAATAAAATATTAAATAAAAAAAGAAATGGGTTTAAAGTAATTAAGGGCAGGAAGTTTATTAGAAAGAGAAATAGGATCAATAAGAACGGATTATAGAATAGGGATCACAAAGCATCCCTTCCCTATGAGGAGAGATTCTTGTATACAGGGTCCTCAAGTAGAAGGACCGCAGGGTATCTGAGTCCAAAGAATAAACTCTTTTTTTGGGGAGGCAATTGGGGTTAAGTGACTTGTCCAGAGTCACACAGCTAGTGAGTGTTATGTGTCTGAGGCCGGATTTGAACTCAGGTCCTCCTGACTCCAGGGCCACTGCTCTATGCAGAATAAACTCTTGCTGTCTCCACCTTTGCCTGGTACCTTTCATTGATTTTAGAATCATAGGAGCACAGATTTGGAGCTGAAAGGGATCTTAAAGGCTGTCTAGTCAAAGCCCTTCATTTTGCAGATGAGGAAACTGAGGCCCAGGGAGGTTATAACTTTCCCAAGGTTACACACGTAGCAAGTGGCTGAGCTGGGAAGTGAAACAAAGTCTGACTTCAAATCCAATGTGTTTTCTACTGTACCATGCATCTCTCCCAACTTGTAAAATAGGGCATTACAACATCTTCCTTTGGAAATAAAAATCAGTTCCACCCTTTCCCAGGGCCTTCTTGGCCCTGAACCCAAGGAATTATTGGATCCAAGACAAAATCAATAATCAGTAGGCTCTTAATGCACCTGAACCAAATGGATTTGGAGGATTGGATGACCACAGACAACCTCTCAGCTGCCAGCAGACCTCACTGCTCAAGAGGCTCCAGGTTACAGCAGCTTGAGTTTCTTGACCACCTGTCCAAGGAGAGTAGCTTCCCTTCCCCCACCCCTTTCCCCAGCCCCCAAGGACAGGTGAAGAAGATCCAGAAAGGTTTATTGTATGAAAGAAAGAACACAACATCTGTACATCTATTTACAGAATGAACTCGACTTATTTACAGCAAAATTGAGCCTCTTCCCGGGAGAGGAAGAAGAGAGGGAGGGAAACGGAGGCCCAGAGTCAGGAATAAAAGGGACTCCAACTGAAGTATGGGGGACAGGGGAGTGGGGAAGAATTGAAGGAGAAGTAAGGGAAGGAGTGAGAGGGAGGGGCACTGGGGCCTTCCTCTCAGGAGGCCCAGTGAACGTGTAAGGGCAAATATAGGGGAGTAGGTTGGGAGCAATGTCGAGGACCATCACAGGTGCTCAGGGAAGCTGGTGAATACACCAGAGGAAAGGCTTAGGAGGTATTCCTTGAACAGTGTCGGTCAGGGTACTAGGGAGGGAATGAGGGCTGAAGTAGGGGACTGTCCTGGGCACTACACGGCCCTTTCCAAGTCCCAAAGGCTCTAACAACCCCACATCCCTCAGGTGGATGCCTCCAGTGTGTATTTGGACAGTCTGGCTGCTTTCTGTATTGCAAGGGTTTTGGTTTGTGTCCAGCCCCAGGCCTGCAGGGGATATCTGTCTCTCCCCTTTTCTCCTCCCCCCAAATGCTGCCTGCAGCCATGAGGGTGAGGAGTATTGGGGTGATGGGAAGCACAGGAAGGCTACAGCTCACTGGAACGGACGGCAGGCTCCAGTTTGTGGGAGAGGGCGGTGAGGACCTTGTCAAACTTCTCATAGCGAAGGGCCTGGCTGCTGGCCGCCCCCTGGCTACCCCAGAGAAGGCGCATCTGGAATTCTGTGCTGAACACTTCCAGAAGCTCTGGGAGGGCTTGGAATCCTGTGGGGAGAAAATCAGGTGAAGTCCAGGCCCCATGATCTCCTCCCATCCCCAAAACCTGGACCTTGGAATCACAGCCTGGAAGCCTGGGGGTCTGCCCTCCTGCTCTGCTTAGCTACACCTTATTCATCCCTCAGGGCCCAGCCCAAGTGTTCCTTCTGCTACAAAACCTTCTATGGTCGTTCGGGCACCTAGAGACCACTGCACACTTCTGTCATTGACTCTCTATACCTTTCACTGGGCACAGCATTTGTGTTACTCTCTCTGAAAGAATGAATGACAAAGCTGTTATTAAGCACTGTACTATGTGCAAAGCACTGGGGATTATGTTTCTTACTTAAATATTTCATACCTGTGCATAGCTCTCCTCAACTATGCCATAAGCTTCCTGAAGATAGGGATTTTATCTTATTTTTTTTTTTTTTAAATCCATTGAGCACCTACTCTGTGAAAAGCACTCTTTAGGTGCTGGGTAGTTATAAAATCTAGTTAAGACACAATCCCTCCCTTAGGGAAGCTTATAGTCTAGTGGGAGTATAATATACAAACACATGTAACCACAATAACATAATATGACATGTTAAGTGTAAGAAAGAAATACAAAGGCAAGTGCTTTGGGAGGCCCAAGTGAGGTCATTACTGCCTAGAGGGATCAGGGAAGGCTTCTTAGAGGAGGTGACATTTAAGTTGTACCTTAAAGAATGGATGGGAATTCAATTGGTACATCTTGCAAAGAGATGAGTATTAAGCTCTACATAGTCTACGTTAAATTAAATGAAGAAAAGGGGAGAGTGGAAATGGAAAAAGAGGGGAGAGAGAGAGGGAGAGACAAGAAACAGAGACAAAGAGGGAGGGAGGGAAAGAGACAGAGACAGAGAGAGAGAGAGAGAGAGAGAGAGAGAGCAAAAGAAAGGTGGGAAAAATAGGAGAAAGGAAAAGAGCAAGACCCAGTGGAAAAGGAGATAGGAAAGAATATGGTCCACAAGTGTCAGCCTCCCCAAAGAGCTCTTCCAGGCTATCAGCCTTGATGGTGCTCCTGAGACAGGCTGAGCATCCCCAGTGTCCAAGGATCCCCAAGCTCTGGGGAATTGGCCTGGGGCTGCCTGCTCGTTGGGATTCCATCTTTAGGCTCCACAGAGCCTTACCTTGAAGCTTGACCTCAGCATTGGTGTGGTATAGGCCCCCATGATGGGCTACGGTGCGGGCAGCCTCCAAGTGTGCAAGGACGACTTCCACGCCATGCTCTGTGCTTTCCCAGGGCTCTGGGCCCTCTGCGGGTGCAGTGTCACACTCCAGAAGGGTGATGAGGGGTAGCACATGAGGGAAGGTCGTGTTGCTCAGAGGCGGGCTGTCTGTAGTTGGGAATAAACAGATAGGCAGCTAAGGCTTCCATTCACTGCAACTTCCGAGTGTCTTAGATATATATGGGGGTGGGGGGGAAGGATGCCACTCCACGTTGGATCTGTGCTCCTAAAGGTCCCTCAGCCTCCATCCCTGGTACAGAAATACCCCTGTCTTCCTCTTCTTTATGGGTCAATTAAACCAAAGAGAGGCTCAGAAAGAATCATAGAGGGTCAGAACCAGAAGAGACCTTAAAACATGAAATGTTACAGTCAGAAAGGCACCTTAGAGGTCATCTACAGTCAAAGAAACAGACCCAAGCCAGTGGAATAACTTGCCCTCAGATCACATAGCCAGTTCATGGCAAAGCTGAGATTAAAACTCAAATCTCTTAAATCCCAAGTCTGTAACTATACTGCACCAGATGGAAGCGATATGGGAGCTTCTGTTCCTATACCCTACAAACCTTGACCAAATGAGATAGCACAGTGCCTGGCACATAGTAAGAGCCGTATAAATGTTTATTATTATTATTATTGATTATCTGTACCTAAAGGAGCCCTGGGTACCACAGGCTAGGGAAGAGGGAAGACTTTACTAGGCCCCCTCGGCTTGGGATGCGAGTTTGGTTCCTGTTCAACCCTGGTCTGTGCCGGTCCTTCTCTGAGGCCTGAGTAGTTCTATGCCTGTAACTGTGTGACAGCTTGAGCCCACTGGAGTGGGAGTGGGATGCTTGCCGGGGGAAAGGAGAGGTACCCAGGAGCAGCCTACCTTTGCCCTCATTGAGGCTTTTCAGGAAGGGCTTCAACTTCTTCTCATACAGGATGGCCCCTTCTGTGTGCCGCTGACGCAGGGTCATCCAGGTCTGCTCCAGTCGTGAGATCTGGGTGTCGGGGGAGGGGGGAGTGGACACAGGACACAAGGAAAGGTAGATGGATAAGTCAGAGGAGAGAGGAGGGACAAGGGTTTTTGGTGGCAGCTGCCAGTTGTAGCTGGATTTTTGCTTTCAGAAAATCTAGCATAGGAAGCCCTCAATATTTTATCATGATTTTTTTTCCAATTCAACAAAACATCACTGAGTACCTGCCGCTACTTTGGGTCCAGATTTTTGGTTCTACCAGTGGAGGGCAGTTCTTTCATGATACAGGGCCACAACTACTCTGTCCCTTATTGTCTAGAGTAGGAACTCCAGACCTGAATGAGGTTAAAGTGTAACTGGGAAATATTTAACAAAATAAATAAAAGTACATTAAGACATAGATAATGTTAACGTGCAGTTTTCTAAGTCAATGCATGGCCCACAGGGATCCTTATGTATGGTTTAGTGGCCTCTGTTTCTACTGGAGTTTGATACCACTCTAGAGAGGTACCTAGGGCACTGAGAAGTTATGTAGCTTCTCCACATCACATAGCTTGCATGGTTAGAGTCTAGACTCAAACCCAGGACTTCCTGATTCCAAGGCCAGAACCCTATCCAGGTATGCCTTTCAAGCCCTTAATATTATGAAATCCAAATTTACAAAACTGGATAAATTTGACAGGAGAAGGGTGGGGATGGGTGGGAAAAGGGAGGGAAGGTTACTCATCATTTATGTTACAAAAGCATTTTTCCTTTTGACAAGAAGATGCCATTTGAATTTCCTTAAAACAGTAAGACTTGACCTAGTGTGGTGAATTCTTTGGGATAGGGAACCAACTCCTTTTACTAATCCAGTTCTGCATCTGCTTTTTGTTTTATAGTCTTGGAAGAGCTGCCTGGGGCATTGAGAGATTATGTGACATGTCCAAGAATAGGACTTGCCCACTGTCAAATGGTAAGACTTGAACCTGACTCTCTCCACAATACCAGACTGCCTCTCTAAAGCACCTTTCAGTGCATTTAAAATGTTGTTGTTGTTTTAAAATAGGATGTACAGCTGGAATGGCTGAGTTCCTCTAACTCCAAATCAATTTCCCCTGCTCTGTACTGGTCTCATTTGATTTACAGACGGTGCAGAGGGATTAGTCTGCCCCGCCCCTACCCTGAGATTGCCAGCTAGCCATGTACTTCTCTTGGGCAATGCAGCCCCTCAGCTGCTACTGCTCAAGGCAGACTGAGGACCCCAGAGTGCCCCGGGGCACCAGGGAGGCAGGGGGATCTGGGAGGTCAGCCGTGACCCGAAGGAAGGAAAGGGCCTCCACCTGGGCCATGTCCAAGGCACTCATGACTGCAGCAAAGCTGAACATGTTGCCCATCGTTCCTCGGAGCTCGGCCGCCAGCTGGATGGTCTTGTGCAGCAGGGCCGCCCGCTCCTCCGTGGAGCCTGTGCAGCCCAGGATGTCCACAGCCAGCATGATAGACATGGTGTGGAACCTGCCAGAGGATGAGAGGAGGGGGTTCAGAGAAGAGGGAGGGGCTGACTAGGTAGGGGGTGGGGAGGGCCAGGAAGAGCTACTTGGAAGCCAGGACTGAGTTGGGAGCAATTGAGATTGGTCAACTGAGTACAAGGGGTGGGACTAGGGAAATGAGACACTCAGGATCCTAAGATCAAGGGTGGAAAAGGACCTTAGAGCTAATATAGCTCAGACCAATCATTTGTAGATAAAGTGAAAACTAGAGGGGTTTCCCAGTTGGCCCAATGTCACACAAGTGGTACGTACGGCACAGGGATGGAATTTAAACCCAGTGCTCTGGACCCTATATTATCATGGATGACGGCGACCCGCTCCGGACATCTGAAGATACTCTGGGGTGTGAATGCTCTCCCATGCATATCTTGGGGAGCCTCCATGTAAATGGTCTTGGGGATGCCAGATCCAGGAATTTCCCATGGAAGCCCCCCTCTCCTCTCCCCACCAGCCTCTGAGGCCCCTTCTCACCGTTCCAGCAGGTCCAGTCGGAGCTGCCGACCGTGGGGGAGTGTTAGTAGCTCCATGCCCGAGCGGACTCCCATGAGCCCTTGCATCTCCTTGGTAACGCCCAGTATCCTAGCAACCTGCCGGGATGCCCAGAGAGCTGATTAATCTCCTCTCATTGGGGAAGGGGCCAGAAGCAAGGGGTCATGGGAAGAGGAATCACTGAATTATAGAATGTGAAAGCTGGAAGGTCATTCAGTCCACAGCCCTCATTTCACAAATAAGTTACCGGTGATACAGAGAGTGAAAGGACTTTGCCAAGGTCCCACAGCTAGTTAGTGAAAAAGCTGGGGTGTACCTGTTCAATCATAGGGTCACAGGATTTTGGGCTAGAAGGACCTTAGGTGTTGTCCAATCCAACCCCCTCATTTTGCAAATCAATAAGCTAAGGTCCCAAATGGTTAAGTGACTTGCCTAGGGTTACAGGGGTTGAAAGTAGCAGAACGGGGGGGGGGGGGGGGGGGGGGGGGAGGGGAATAAGCCACCTCTCTGAGCAGCCCCCCGGGGAAAGCTGAAAGGCAGGCTCTGCCCCCTTCTTGCCCCATTTCAAGCCCGTACCAGACAGTCGACTTTGGTGACATGCCGGGCTAACGTCTTGGCATCCACATCAGCAAGCAGTTCTTTCACCTTCTTAAGGATGCTCATCTCCAAGGGTTTGTTGTCCTTGGGAATCAGTAGTGACTGGAAGGTGGTGGGGTTGAAGGAAGAAGTCACCTCTATGACAGGCAGTATGAAGCCTCCGCCCTGGTCCCCTTCATGGGGTCCATTCTCCGGTGCCCGCCCAGCCGTCAAGTGCTGTCCTTCTTCCACTTTCAGCCGTTCTACATAGCTCTTGACCCCACCGAGGTGGGTTGGGGGTTCAGGTGCCACACGTTCTCGGCTGCCCCTTATGGGTGGCTGAAGCTGGCAGTAGTGGCCAGAGTCCAGGTCACTGTAGCTGTTGAGGGATGGGGATGGGGAAGCCTGGCGGTAGCTATGGCAAGGGGTGGGGTGGACGCTGTTGCTTGGCTCACTAGGTGGTTTGGTGCCATTTCCTGGGCACAGCTGGGGCTCACTGGAACGGCGGATGACAGGGGAAGCAGGCGTCATGCCAGCGGATGGAATGCCTGGAACATTTACTCGAGTCACTGTAGAGAGATAAAGGAAAAACTCATAGAATCAGAGGATTTGGGACTGGAAGGTATCTTAGAGATCGATTAGCCCCATCTTCTTATTTTACAGTTTAGGAAAATGCTTCACACAGGAGATAAGTAGCAAAGTAAGATTCTGGAGTCAGGTCCTCTGACTCCAAATCAGTACTCTTTCCACAACGTTAGTTACTAAGGCCGAGAACCATAGGTACAGACACTGGGATCCAATGCCTTTCCCCTCACCCTTGTTAAGCTGACTTTGGTTCACCCCCAGGGTGAGTCTGCCTTCCTCCCCACCAAAGGTGTGGCCAAGCTAAACTTTCTTCCCCAGTCTCTGCTACAGAAGAGGGAGGTGCTGATTCAAGTGACTGAGACCAAACCTGGCATTACTCCCTGAAACCTAGACATTCAGAATATCTAACCTTTGAGTTATTGATGGTGCTCCCAACAGACTCAGCAGGACTGAAGACCACTCAGCAACTTCATGTTGTTTAGTATTTAAAATAAGAATGATTATTTTGGGAGGCTTGTTTAAGAATAATAAATAGTTATTTGTTGAGTCATGTAATCTTTAAGAGAGGGCTTTGAGAGATAGGCTTAGTGGATAGATCTTTGTGTGGCTGATCTAAGAGTTAGGAAGACCTGAGTTCAAAACTTGTCTCTGAAACATAAGTAGATGTGTGATCATGGGGAAATCACTTGACCTTCTAGTTCCCCAGGCAACATACCCTTTGAAGACTATAAATTACAGACAGTGGTGGGAGTTTTCCTACTGGTAGTTCCTTATAGCAACGAAATCTCAGGTCTGGATAGATGAACTTTCACATATGAGGCTTTTTCAAAAAGGAAGTTTATCTGCTGAATCCCCTTTGCATAAGGCACAGTGTAGTCATCTACAACGAAGTTAGGTAGCACAGTTTTAAAAACAACAATGGAGTGGGTAGGTAATGGGCAGGCTGCCCTTGGGAATCAGGAAGATCTGGGTTTAGCTGCTGCCTCTGATCCAGAGTGGCTGTGTAGCTCTGTGTCGATCACCTATCCTTTCCTTGCTCTAGTCCAGGGGTGGGGAACCTGTGGCCTGGAGGCCACATGTGGCCCTTTAGGTCCTCAAGTCCTGAATCCAAACTTAAAGTTGAGGACTTGACCTAGACGGCCACATGTGGCCTCCAGGCCACAGGTTCTCCACCCCTGCTCTAGTCAATTAACTCCCTAAGACAAGAAGGTTCCAACACGCATTGGGAGAGAAAATTGTTCACCAGGAACTGCAAACACTGATTAAACCACAGATTTGGTCCAAAAACAGGCTGCTCCCTTAGTCCTTTGGTCCGCGGACACATTTCCCTCCTTGCCAGGACTTTGCCTCTCCTTGCTGGACTCTGAAGGCAAACAACCCCTCCCAAGGCTTCAACAAGGAAAGAGTGCATTTTTGAAACCCAAACTTTTCTGCGTTGATATTACTCACAGGCCCCCTTTGCTTAGGGACCATGTTTCAAGGAGCAGGGTCCCATTCAGTGCATACTGAGTCACAGTTATGGTCAATAAAAGTGAACAGGCTTGCCACACAGCCTGAAAAAAAAAATGACACAATGAAGAACTGATTGTGTGTAATGCACTGGAAATAATAACAATAGCTAGCATTTATATGGCGCCTACTATGTGCCAGGCACTGTGCTAAGTGATTTATAAATATTACCTCATTTGATCCTCACAACAACACTGGGAGGTGGGTACTATTGTTATTCCCATCTTACAGTTGAGGAAACAGAGGCAGACAGAGGTCAAGTGACTTGCCCAGGGTCACTCAGCTAGTAATTTTCTGAGGCCAGATTTGAACTCAGTTCTTCTTGACTCCAGGCCTGGCCTACTATCCACCACAACGTGTAGCTACCTCTAGGCACTTTCTTTTTTGAACACCTCTCCCCTTCCTGTGGGCATCTTATTTATTGATTTAAATTATTTCCACTAGGAGTTTGTTGGTTTGGTTGGTGTACACATTCTGTAGTCCTGAGAGAGCTTGAAGAATAAGTCATTTTGTTACATCAGCTATTTTAAGGAAGGTTACATGATGTGAGAGGCAGGTCTGGAGATAGACCCATCTATCCTCTGACCAAAAGATTCAACCAGGACCGAGGCAATAATGACCATACACACACACACACACACACACACACACACACACACACACACACACACA